CTAATCTGTCCTTTCTCCCACCTCAAGCCCCACCCCCATCTCCTACCTACCAGCCTCATTCCGCCCCCTTGACCTGTCCGTCCTCCCTGGACTGACCTATCCCTTCCCCGCTAACTCCACACCTACACTCACCTTTACTGGCTCCACCCCCGCCTCTTCAACCTGTCTGTCTCCTCTCTACCTATCTTCTCCTTTATCCATCTTCTATCTGCCTCCCCCTTTCTCCCTATTTATTTCAGAATCCCCTTCCCCTCCCCCATTTCTGAAGAAGGGTGTAGACCCGAAACGTCAGCTTCCCTGCTCCTCTGATGCTGCTTGGCCTGCTGTGTTCATCCAGCTCTACACCTTGTTATCTCAGATTCTCCAGCATCTGCAGTTCCTACTATCTCTTCTTTCTAACAGTTCTCCATGTTATATCCCACTTCTGCAATTTCTAGAATGCAGGAATGTATGAATGATTAAAGATTCAACAGGAGGCAGTCAGTCAACCATTTTTGGTTTGTTGACTCCACTCACACCAGTTGTATAATCCTTTGATCTCACTGCCATTCTCTCTGCCTCTAAACTCTGTCTGTGTGCTCTCCTCTCACTGCACCTAATGAACGGGCTGTGCTACAAAAGCCTGTGATTTCAAATAAACCTGTTGGACCATAACCTGTTGTTATATGATTTTTGACTTCATTTTAAACTGATACGCAGCTGGTAGATTTCTAGATTCTTTTTTGTGACCCATGAATCAAGTTTTCAAAAAGAAAAATTCTCTCTGCTGAAGTAGAGATTAAAAACCCAGAAATGTTTCCTTTTCTGGAGGTATTTGCTGTATATATGTGATTGTGTCACTGTGCACAATTGTCATTCCATATGTGTATACATCTGGCATTCTCCTGGAAGTAGAAAAGGTTAAGAGGCGATTTGTCAGAAGTGTTTAAAATTATGAAGGGCTTAGATTGACTAAATCGAGAAAAACTTTCTAATGGCTGATGGATTTGTACCCAGAGGCAGTTGGCAGAAGAACAGTGCAAGCTGAGGCAAGACCTGTTTGCAGAGTGACTGCACAGCATTTAAAATGTACTGTCTGTATTATGGAGAAGCGAAATGTTGCCAATCCTTTTGGTTTGAATTTCTTTGACATCTTCCAAACTCATGATGACTACCACCTAGAAGGGCAAGGACATCCAGCTACCACCAGCAAGCTCCCCTCCAATTTGCAACCTGACTTGAAATTATGCCACTGTTCCTTTGCTATCACTGGATCAAAATCGAGAATCTCCCTTCCTAACACTGCTGCATGCACCTACAGCATACGAACTGCAGTAATTCAAGAAGGGAGCTCACTGCAGCATTTTCGAGGCTAATTGGGATTATGTGGTGATCTCCATGAATGAAATTTAGAAAAATTATTCCTCAGGACAGATAGAAGAGAGTGCTGAATGGTTGTTTGTTTAAAATTTGTCATTTCTGTATTCATCCTAATGAGTGCAAGGCACAAATTTTCAACATGTTCCCCTCTCTTCTGCAATGCTCGTGTAATACTGAAGAATTTCCTTTCTAAGAAGAACTAAGTAAGTACTTGGAAGGTGAAAGGGTTGCTGGGATATAGCGCAAGGCCTGGCAAGTGAAAAACCTGATGTAGAGCCAATAGACTGGCTTCCTTCTATTTTGCTATAATCCCTAGACTGGATTTGCAGCAAGACAAGAAACTAAGGCTATGCAGCAGTGATGATTATTTTTGGTGTATTTTTCAATGGCCTAGGGTGTCTTCTCAATGGCCTGTGTGAGGGATGTAGGCATTATAGTACAGCAAAGCTGGATTTTAACACACCTTTGGGGTTGAAGCTTGGGCAGCAGTGCGCTGGTGCAGTGAACACACTGACATTCTTTTGAAGGCTCAACATATAAATCAAAGGCTGATTCAGGTCATGCAATAAATCATCTTCTTGGTAAAGGTTAGATTGAAGCTGTTCCTCTGTGCACCATTAAAGTCTCTGGAGCCACAACAATTTGAGGCTAGTTTATTTAGTTTATTTCAATAATGAAAATAACTAAGATGATGAGAATCTGCTAGTGAGCCCCATTGTTGTATCATGAATAATTGTAGGTCATCTCTTGGCTTGAATGCACATGAGTTCTCGAAGAAACTTGGAACTGTGGAGAGCAAAGAGAACCCAAGTGAGTAGCCCTTTAAAAGCAAAATCAAATCTCACAGTTTGTTTTCAAATCGGTTTTCTTAAAAAAAAAAAAAAGAATTTGCCTGAATACCTCTACCTGCTATGACCTCCATTTTCACTTTGTGGTAACCGCACATGCCTTAAAATGCTGCTAAGTTGTCAGTGTAGATGCCAGTGATACTGTATTCAGTGCCAACAATGCCACAACATTGTTCTCTGGGAGATGCAGTATTTTTATGCATTCAACTTTCTATTCATAATTATGTGAAAAGTGAGCATCTAATTGTGCTGTTGCATAAGTGCTCTGTATGAAAGGTGTTCAGTTAATACATCAAAGCAGGCTATTAATCAAAAACTTACAAATCAGGAGCATAACATACCTCTGCTTATTTTGTCGCAGAAAAGTGATTTTCATTTAGCATGTTTTATTTTTCTGAACACAGGAGTGTGAACCAAGGGCTAGCTCTACATCGAGTCTTAAAGACTTGTACCTAGGCCTTTAAAATCTAAAGGAGTACTGACTTGAAGTTGTTTGGGCTACACAAAGGATGTAAGTTCAAAACCTTGTTAGATTATATATGGAGTACTTCTGAAAGCTTTTGTTGAGCTTACATAACACAAAAGGTAAATCACAAAAAATCCTGGATTATTAATTTTGCAGTTTTCTTTGAAAACCTCAAGCTTATTTTGCCAGTGAGTCAGCAAATGGTTGATCTGAATGCTTCATATTCTGACCTACTTCCTTTCAGCCATTGCTTATCAAGAATCTAACCACCTACCTTTTAAAAATTCAAGGACTCTGCTTCCACAACCTTTTGAGGAAGAGAGTTTCAAACACTTATGACCCTCCAAGAAAAATGTTCTTCTCACATGTCTTAAACAGGTAATCCCTTATTTTCAAACAGTGACTCCAAATTCTAGATTCTCTCACGTGAGGAAGCATACTTTCCACATTTGCCTAAGGCCCCTCGATGTATGTTTTCATCAAGTTGCCTTTAACTCTTCTAAACTCAATGGAAACGAGCCTAACATGTTCAATGATTATTCATAAGACAGCCATCCATTCCAGATATTCATTTCGCACACATTTACAGTCTTCCTTAAATTAGGAGACCAGTATTGTACACTAATCTAAATATCTTATCAGCATGGAAGGTTAGGTATTTATTATTTGAGAAGGTGCTTGATGCAAACTCAGTGCAGCATGGTTAGGATCAAGTGCAGCAATATTATCCACTATGTCTGTATCATTAGATCTGAGGCAGTCAGTTAGGATTGCAAACTCCCTGTCCTCTGACACTAATAGAGACTGTGGAATGAAGATCCCTGAGATGGGGAGGTTCTGTGATCAACTCTGAGGCCCCTTAACATTGCACACGTGCAGCTTTTTTTAACCTTGTCTTGGTCTGGTGGCATTGCCATTAAATAATCAGCACTCATGCCTGATTGCTGCCTTCAACAGAACCAGAGAACTGATCTGATCTGAGGGAAATAACCACCACTGCCTGTTCTTCAAGCCCCTTGCCATCACATCTCCCTATCCCAGGTTCTCTCAAAACTACTGTCATGTACACGCAAATTCTCTCAATCTAATGCCCTGAGAACCACCACAGCATCTGGTGAAATTTAGTTCATAAAGTTGAAATTTAAAGCTTGCCTTTAAGTCTAGTCATCACTATTTGTAAAGGCCATCCTCACCACCAGAAGCAACATCACTAGCATTTAAGGGTGGAAGTATGCTGTCCTTACCCTGTCTGGCCTACGTGTGAATTCAGACCAACAACGTTATGGCTGACTCTGAACTGCTGTCTGAAATGGCTTAACAAGCCATAATTAAGGACCAGCAACGAATGTTAGCCTTGTCAGCATTGGCCACATCGCATTAAAGAATTAAAATCCAAAAGTTGTTGGCAATGCGATGCAGGAAAATAGCAACTTAAGCCCTTCAGCTAGGGGAAAGAGTTGAGGCTTAAAGGACGACAAAAAAATCCAACCATGCGTCAAGCATCACGGACTTCCTACCATTAAAGCTGTCCTCATTAAAGAGACCCCTTTAAAAGTTACCCTCTTGGGTGCAAGATAATGCAGGTTAAGTGAATTCCCAAGTGATATTGATTCAGCTGCTTTTTAAAAATGGACCTGAGGTTGTTGACTTCTAAATGGACCTCTAAACCACATTTATTTTGTATTTTGGGATGTAATTCCCTATCAGAAGAGAAAGTTGTATTATCTGTTGTCTCTAACTTTGCTCCAAGCTTGTGAATTTTGTCCTCCTGCCCTCTGGCCCTGCAATCTCCATCCAAGTTAAATAGCTTGTTTACTGTAACCACCTCCATATTGGCTGTAATAATGCTGGCGGTGGTGCTGCTATGTGCTGGGGCCCCACTTGCCTGGTTACTGAAGTTCAAGTGGCATTGGATTCCAGTCTAGCATGAATCACTGCACAGTCGTGTAGAAAGTGGTGTGTGGCCATATGTGACGTTAATAAGGAAGTTTAAATCAAGACTGTTGAGAAATGGTATTAGCCAGATTGTGTTGGCAACGATATCTGTGGAATTGTACAAGCTTTCCAACTGTTTGTGACTCATGACAAATGTCAATTTGAGATACATTAAGCATGTCCGCTCGCTATTGCTGTTCCCAATAACGCTATTGCCCCCTTCTAAGGAAGTGATTTTACCGCTAAACTTTTTTGCCCATAAATGGTAAATCTCAGAGAGATTAAAACAAACTCCTGAGGGCAGCGTTGCTGCTCAGTCTTTTTGAAGTAAATTACAAAACAGTACGTGGTGTGCCAAGGGTCCTGCTTAAATCAGAAAAATCACAAGCGGTCAGGACAGACAAAAGTTTTCCTCCTGTCTAAAAATGGGAGTCAGCTTTTTTAAAATATATTTTATGCATATCTGGAATTGGATTGGTCAATATGCCCTGCCCTTTCTCTTCCCTTCCTGCCACATCCTGATGCCCAGAATACAACTACTCTGGTTAAAACAATGTACATGGTTTGAATTGGTGCAGTAAGCTCAAAATCGCAACGTATCGCAAAACTGTTTGTCGGGCAATGCTCACAGCGTGAATGGGGAGTATCTTGGCAGGTTCAGTCTTGGAAAAGGCCAAGGACATCCTGTTCAGTAACATGGCCATGGTGCCTACTAGGGAAACTTTGTGTTGCAGCTGGCCGCCTCTGCTTCTGCCAGGTGGTACTTGTCTGCTTCTGAAGTTTTCTCTTCCCCTGTGGATAGAGTCAAATGCAGCCACAGATGCTGTTGTACAGTTTTCCTTGACTGCCTGGCAAACTTATTTCGTAAGACTCCCTTCAAGGTTCTTATCAAGACCACAGCTGGATATCATCAAACGCTTCATTTACAATTTCAATTCCCCCTAGTCCATTTGTTTAGAAATTTCCTTTATCTGAAAAGGAAACCAGATAGAACCAGCGAGTTTCAAACATGTCTGCACTCAATGCTCTGTACATAGATCTCAGCTGGTAATAGTTTTGTGTGGTGTTTGGCACTGGCCTAGCTGAAGTAAGGGCAATATTGGCCAGGGTCACTGCTTTTGGCTGTAACGCAGTGACCTGTGCAAATGTGCAGATCTTGGGTGCCCCTGGACATACCATCACAAAGTATGATTGCTATAGCAAGGCACCAAAAGCCAGTGCCTCTGCCCCATAGAACTCTGACCACAAGCCAGAATGCCAGGAGACCAGTCAAAAGGAGTGGCAACAAAATAAGTTCTCTTTCCTCGTCAGTTTCATTTCAGAAACCTGTCACTTAATTTTCTGTTATTACGTAGTGCTTTTTGCCATTCTGACACTAGGTAGAACAGCAAAGGGAAGCTCTCTGTGATGCCCTGTTTGCATTTTTTGATGTGGAGAGTGATAGTGTGACTGAGTCAGAAAGAATTGATGATTACAGGACCCGTCGTGACTACCTGCAGAATCTGATCAGTTCCTGCAGTGCAGAGAAGGGTGTACCAGGGCTCTCCCACTGCTGTGTGCAGCTCAAGAACTACTTCAGTTGCCTTCTGATCCTGGAACTGGTTTTTGCAACAACTGGTGGAAGTTAAATTTTAATGGAGAGAGTTGGCTGAAGATCCAGGCACACTGCATGGTGATTTTGGGATTATGTGCTTATTCCCGTGATTTTGGAAGGTCCTCTGACACTAACATGCACTGGATGCATCTGGGTCAAATTTGTATATCATCTAACATCATTAAAACAGCTTCAGTAATCATCTGCCTCCTTGGTATTTGTTAGACCTTGCCAGAAGTAAATTTAGAAACAAAGCAACGTAGAAGATAGGAGCAGGTGAAGGCCATTCAGCCCTTGGAGCCCGCTCTGCCATTCTTCATGATCGTAGCTGATTATCAAACTCAATAGCCTAATCCTGCTTTCTCCCCATAACTTTTGATCCCATTCACCCCAAGTGCTATATCTAGTCACCTCTTGAATACAGTCAATGTTTTGGCATCAACTACTTCCTATGGTAATGAATTCCACAGGCTCACCACTCTTAGGGTGAAGAAATGCCCCCTCATCTCCATGCTAAATCGTCTATCTACAGAATACAGTTCCACACTTCACTGGCTGGCCTTAAAATGTGAGGTCCTCATATATCTTTTATATGAGGTGCATATAAAAGTATGCCTTTCTTCCACACACAGTGGGGTGTACACAAATCTTGACTGTACAGTTCGTAAATTTGCTGATGACACACATATGTAGGAAGATACATTGAGGTGACCAAAATTAATCTGCAAAGGATATAGATGGTTTGTGAATGGGCAAAGATTTGGCAGGTGAAATATAACGTGGGAAAATGTGATTTGGCAGGAAGAATCAAGAAGCAGCATTTTATATAAATGGAGAGCTCGTAAGCCTTTGAGCTACAGATGGATCAGCTGTCTTGATATGTGAATCACAATTAATACGCAGATGTAGTGAGTGATTAAGTAGGCATTTTGGATCTTGTCATTTATTGCATGATGAATGAGATATACCAATAGGGATGTTTTACACCATTGAACAGGGCATTGTTGATGCCATATCTGGAATGTTGCACTGTTTCAGTCCTTTTAAGAAAAGATGTAAATGCTGATGACTGGGGTAAGTGAGGTCCTGTATGAGAAACGTTTAGACAGGCTGGGCCTGTATCCTTTGGAGTTTAGGAGAATGGGAGGTTATCTTATTGGATCAAAAGATCCTGAAGGGACTTAATAGGGTGGAGGTTAAAAGGATGTTTGCTTGCTATTGTGGGGGAGGTTTGAACAAAAGGACACAATTTAACAGTAATTCAGAGCAATTTTTTTGAGATTCTTGAGTCTTTAGAACTTTTGTCCAGAGTTGGGGCCATTTTTTAATGTATTCAAGGCAGAGATAGGTAGATACATGATTAACAAGGGAGTCAAAGGTTATCAGGGCTGGATGCAAAATTGAGGTTGAGGTCACAGTCAAGTCAGATCTGATCTTACTGAATAGTGAATGAGTCTTGAGCAGCTAGATGGCCTACTCTTGTTTCTAATTCATATGTTCAGAAGACGATATGTTAATTAGTATTACAAAGAAAATGTTATTACATCTCTTTGCAGGCATTCTCCCGTTCCACCAGAAAGTTTTGACTTGATTTGGAATTTGGTGTAACTACTGTGCTGACACTCTATTTGATTCAGCAGAGCAGTCCCTGAGTTTGTTCACCTAGTGCAGGGACTGCTGCAGGAAACTCCAATGGGGCTTGAATAGCTCCTGGGATCTTATCATTGTTCAGTTTTTCTGCTGAGACATAAGGGGAGTTCTGTGTTTTTACTGAAAAGTTCAGCCTGATATTTTGAGGGAAAAGAGAATAATGGAAACAAAGGATTGTTTAATTTGAAATTCCTGGTGAAAACCAAAGTTCATTTCTCTTAGCTGGTATCTAGTTTACAATGCACAGAAAATTCATCGTAATCATTTCCCAAAAAGGTGTTTGTTTCCTAATGAAAAACCCTAAAACTTTTTTGATCCATTCTGCACACCAGATTCAGATATGCAATGTAGAGTTTCGTGAACTGCATGTGTAAAAATCCAAGCAAATCATTTTCCTTCCCACACAGTTTCCTGACATGTCCCCTGAGAGAATGGTGTTGCTGCAAGCTGTGCTGCCTTTTCTTTCCTGTGTGCGATGGGTGTGCTTGTCAACTTGGCTTCATCAGATGCACTTTTGCTCTTGAGCATAAAGGTGGCCACTCAGCCCATGGAGGCTGTGTTAGTTCTTTGATCAGTCCAATTAGTCCCATTGCTTTGCTTTTTTCCTTCTTGCTCTGTAGTTCTGCAAATGTCTTCTCTCCCAGTGTTTATCCAGTTCACTTTTCAGAAGTTACTATTGATACAACTCATTATAATTGAGAAAGTATTCTCTGGAAAACAACTCTCATTCGGATTTTTGACCTCTCATAGAATCCCTACAGTCTGGAATCAGGCCGTTTGGCCTATTGAGTCCACTCCAACCCTCTGAAGAGCATCTCACCTCGACCCACTCCCCAATCATGGCTGATGTTTGTTGTTCACAACCCCTTGACTGTGAAAAATATTTCTCATCTCTGTCCTAAGTGATTGACCCCGATCCTGAGGAGTCCTGTGACCCTTTGTTTTAGGTTCATCAGTTTTTCCTGTCTTTGCACATACCTCATGTCCGTCCCCAGTACCATTCTATTACATCTGCTCTCCACCACCTCCAAGGTCTTGATGTCCTTCCTTAATCATGGTGCCTAGAATTGAAAGACAATGATGAGACCTAGTACAGAAGCTAAGCATGAATGCTCTGTTGAGGGATACAGGAGCCAGAGGTCCTTGCAAGCCCTTCTAATGAAACTTAAAATTGAGAAGTCAGGCTTGGTTAACAGTCCTGTGTCAACAATCACTCCTATAAACATGTAAATTAACCAGCCATTAATTTTATTGCAGTTTACTAGACCTTGTGGTGTGAACATTTACCTAACATTATCTATCAGTGACCACATTTTAAGTAGCAGTTTTTTGCAAATGAGTTGACTTGGCCTATCTTAAGTTCAAGTGTGGTAGAGTTAGTCTCTGAGCCTTCAATATCAAAACATTGGTTATCTTGTTTTCCAGGAGAATATTTTTGGCACTGTGACTGAAATGTAGCTTTCAGTGAGTGGTGATTTGTAAATAATCTGGATTTAATATTGATTTGAAACTTTATCAGTAGCCACAGTGACTATTTAGACTGATCTCATTAGACAAGTTGATAACTATTCTGGTTGGAGTACATCAAAAGTTTATTGGTGTGAGTATACGGGAGCAGTACTTTGGAATTCAAGACTTGGGTCAGAGATCATGTTTTATCAAGTTTGTGAGAGCATTTAAAATGTATTGCTTTTAGAACCACAGCCTCCACCCACTGGTTCCTTGGACAATTGTTGCTCTCTGTGCAAATCATTCCCTGTGCCACTTAGGCCTGTCGTTGGCTGAAGCCCCCACAAGCATCGTTTCTGGCACCAACAGTTGGAGTCAGTTCTAGGACACCCAAAATACTACCCTGAAGCTAATGGAATGAACGTGAGGTGATAATGATAGCAAGCAGTGCTACTTTGAATACTAAGCTCTGCTTGAAATGGTCATCATGGTGTTACTGAGCTTTATAGGAGACAAACTTCCACAATTTTGCCCTGAAAATTATTTACATTTTTAATGCTGCACCTAACTTAATCTGTCATTGCTAATGTGTAGCACACTCTCATCTGAGTCAGTCCAATCCCGCAGACTTGGAACCTTCAATCTATCATACTCCAATGAGGGGTGCAATGCCATCACTTTGGGTGAGACATTAAGCTATCGGCCAGAGATTTTAAAAGATCCCCTCCGACTTCAAGCAACCGAGTTCTCCTCCGTAACCTGACCAGTATTTATGTCTCAGCTAATGCTGTTAAAAAGTACATCTGGTGACATTACATTGCTGTTTGAGATTTCGCTGTGTGAACATTAGCTCCACTTTCCAATAACAGAGACTGCCCTTTAAAAGTGATTCTTTGTAAAGCAGTTTCGGACATTCTGAAAGTAGCTGTACAAATCCAACTTCATAGGATAGCACTAAAATAATTTAAAGTGTGTAAACCATTTAAAGTAGGTAGGACTTTCAGATAATGTTTGACCAGCATAATTGCCTGCTCTATATGTTACTATGTGGTTAAACCAGGAATATAGATTAAAAGGAGGCAGAAAAGAGAGCTTTCCATAGTACTTGCTAAGACTCCAGTGCAGTTCAGATACATTTCTTCCCACTATACAACCCTGCAAGTGAAACTTAGTGTAGTATGGCAGGCTGGTAACCTTGGAGTATATTACATGAATTAACTATTCCTTGTATCCGTTCTGTGGTGGCACAAAATTTATCTCCACTTTCTGGCTGTGTGACCTTGATATTAAACGGAAGATTAGCTCAAGGGTGGGCCCTTGTGATGAGGCTGTGAAATTTCACTAGATTTTATAGCTTTTCAACTTTGAGCACAATGTCGCCTCAATATAAGTTGATTTTTGTTTATTACTGCTGTTTGAGTCTTTGTTGGTAAGTGGTAAATATTAATGAATTCATTTTTTGCATCACCATGGACCTCTGAAAAACTAGTGCACTGAGCCCATTTTCTGATCAATGTTAAATGGGCGAATATAGTAATATTTGGCAGTAAGCATTGTTGCACTATGTGTTCAGTGTTTTGGTCTTTTTGGTATTCCATTTATTTTGGTGTTTGGGAGGAAGTTCTTCTGTTTTTGTGCGGGTGGGAGGAGAGAATGGTTCGCATCTCTGTAATTGAACATGGAAAGAATCTGTGCTGAAGTGATCAGTAACTTCTGTAAGTTGTCAGCATTGATTGCAATTTAGAGAGCTTTGTGGTTTGTGAAGGCAGTGGTTTTGAACTTGTTGACTTTTGAGTTGGGCTGCACTTAAAAGAATTTGATTCTTTCAGTTTGGTGGTGAGGGCAACTTCACAGGTCGTATCTAAACACAAACTGGGTGATACATTTTAAGTCGCACCCAAGAACCATTTTACTGCCTCTTGTCTCTTACAAGCTGACCTGACTCTGCTTACAGTGGGAAGGCAATTATATCCACAGGTTTTGATGGCCCTCTAGTTCTTTGAACTGAAATTCACTGCTCTATTTTGTTCATTATCGTGAATCATTTAAGAGGCATATCCAATTGAACTCATTGTATATCTGTTTCCTTCTTTCAGCTACATAGTGTGATGAATGGGAACCATTTCCCCTTTTGGTAAATATTTTAACTTTCTGTTGCTGTTAAGGTAGCCACTCAGCCATGGACCAGAACAAGTGGTGAACGTTTCATCCAGGCATCCCTCCACATGCTACCTCAAAACTTGCCTGAAGAGTGGCATTCAGAGGTGCAAAGATTAAGTTCTTCACCTGTTCCCTTAGGGCTTTGTGCACAATTGTCAGTGCTGGTGAAATGGATTATTTCACTCTGCTACCTTTAACAATGTTTTAGAGGAATACCCAAAGATTGTTCTTGAGAGTGTTGCTCTTAGTTATCCCATTTCATTCACAATGACTTGATCCCACGTTGACATGCAGTTCTGTGGCTGCTCCCTATTTGGCACTTAATCGAAATAACCTTAGAGCTGAACCTTCTGGTAGAGCTGAGAGTGTTGCCATTGAGCCAAGGTAACAGTGACAGCCTTTGGATTTGGATTTGTAGAATCAGTTCTTTGCACATTCTGCCAATCTGTAGCATGATCCCAAGAACCGAGGAAGGTAACATCAGTGGTAATGTTGCTTGTGGCTCAGCTTGTATATTTCATACTAGCTCCTCCCAGTGAAGTCTTGAAACTGGCATTTTGGCAGTGTTGTGGTCTTAACAGAGATTGACGGAGGAGAAGATGCAAACGATAAGTAGCTCGGGAGGAAAGATTATTGCTATGCTTAACTTTGTTATCATAACTTTAGAGATGTGATTTTGTTTTTAATCTTGTAGAGCTGTTTGTCGGAAGACAAGGAAATGGCAGCAGAGACTCAGACGCTCAACTTTGGACCTGAATGGTAATGTATAACCATAACACTTTCCAAGAAAGGACATGTTTGTTGGAGATTTTCATCATGCCCTCATCAGGACAGTCCATAAGAAATACTAAAGTAAAGAGAAAACAACATTTATACTATGAGAGTAAATGCTGATTGGTTAAGGAATTTGCAACTAATATTTAAACAAAGCTTGGCAGTTAACCATCATCATAATTATTGGTGCAGTCTCCATGAAGACATCTCTACCGATCAAGTCCGCTTGCCATCCAAACTGCTGTTGTGAAGTATAAATTACAACTACCTAATACTTTGTGTGATAATTGAGTGTATAAGAAGTTTGTAGGATACTGGGGACTTTGCTTTGTGCGTCCAGATGCTGACTTCTACCGTGCCTTGGGCCTTTGTACCCTTCAGTTGCAGTGGATTTCAACATCAGTGAAAATTAATAGCAGTCGTTTTTTATCAAACCACACTGTTTGTAATTATACAAACTAATACAGTACAAAAAATGAAAATGCTAAGCTCTCTCACATTAATGGATTGTTTTGTTTGAGTTAATCAGTACAACTTCCATCAATCATTTTGCAGTCTAACCTCCTTGAGCCTGGCAGAAACATACACTCGCAACCTTCCCTTTAAATCCTTTAATGCCCACAAGTGCCAGTGTGTCTGAACTTTTTTTTAATAGAGCCATGTTCGCATCCCAGAAAGAGGATTTATCTATTACTAGGGTGGCTAGCAGTTGTAGTAGTATTTATTTTGCTGATGAGCATTTTAATGTTATTTCACCTCTGTACCCTTTTTTAAAATTTATCCATGTATACTTGCTCTAATACTTAGTTCTTCAATCTTGCCTGTGGTGTTAAATAAATCCAAGTAAACGTTCCTTCAAACTTGCTTGTTTTGATTTATTTGTTTGTGGAATGTGGGCATTACTGCCTAGGCCAGCATGTATTGCCCTTCCTAGTTGCTGCCAAGAAGATGGAGAGCTGAGCTGCCTTACTGAATGGCTGTAATCGTGGGAACACCTAGTGCTGTTAGAGAACAAGTGTCAGGATTTTGACCCAGCAGCAACAGTGAAAAGATAGTGAGATAACAAGGTGTGGAGCTGGATGAACACAGCAAGCCAAGCAGCATCAGAGGAGCAGGAAAGCTGACGTTTCAGGTCTGGACCCTTCTTCAGAAATCCCACTATCAGTGAAAAGATAGTGATATCATTCCAAGTAGGAATAGTATGAGGCTAAGGAACTTGCACGTGGTGGTTTTTCCAAATGTCTGCTGCCCTCATCCTTCTCAGTCGCAAAAGATGCTAGTGAGTTGTTGCAGCGTTACCTTGTAGATGGTACGCACAGCTGTTAGAACATAGAACAGTACAGCTAAGTACAGGCCCTTCGGCCAACAATGTTGTGCTGACTTATTATCCTACTAAGATCAATCTACATACCCTACATTTTACTATCCTCCATGTGCCTATCCAAGAGCCGCTTAAAAGTCTCTAAAAGTATCTGACTCCACTACCACTGCCGGCAGCGCATTCCACATGCCCGCCACTCTGTGTGAAGAAGCTACCTCTGACATCTCCCCTCTACCTTTCTCCATCCACCTTAAAATTGTGCCCCCTTGTAATAGTCATTTCCGCCCTGGGAAAAAGTCTCTGACTATCCACTCTATCCATGCCTCTCATCATATTGTAAACCTCTATCAGGTCACCTCTGATCCTTCTTCGCTGCAATGAAAAAAGCTGTAGCTCCCTCAACCTTTCCTCAAAAGACATGCCCTCCAGTCCAGGCAGCATCCTGGTAAATCTCCTCTGCATCCTCTCTAAAGCTTCCGCATCTTTCCTATAATGAGGTGACCAGAACTGAACACAATATTCCAAGTGTGGTCTAACCAGAGTTTTATACAGCTGCAGCATAACCTTAAATCAATTAAACTCAATTCCCCTGCCAATGAAAGCCAACACACCATACGCCTTCTTTACAACCCTATCAACTTAGGTCGCAACTTTGAGGGATCTATGGATGTGGACGCCAAGATCCCTCTGTTCCTCCACACTGCCGAGAATCCTGCCATTAACCCTGTATTCCGCATTCAAATTCAGTGTTCCAAAATGAATCACTTCACACTTTTCTGGGTTGAATTCCATCTGTCACTTCTTTGCTCAGTTCTGCATCCTGTCAATGTCCCGTTGCAACCTACAACGGCCCTCCACGCTGTCCACAACTCTACCAACCTTCGTGTCATTGGCAAACTTACTAACCCACCCATCCACTTCCTCAACCAAGTCATTTATAAAGATAACAAAGAGCAGAGGCCCCAGAACAGATCCCTGAGGAACACCACTGGTCACCGAGCTCCAGGCTGAATACTTTCCGTCAATACCACCCTCTGTCTTCTATTGTACAGCCAGTTTTGTATCCAGACAGCCAAATTTCCCTGAATCTCATGTCTCCTTACTTTCTGGATGAGCCTACCATGTGGAACCTTGTCGAGTGCCTTGCTAAAATCCATATACACCACATCCACTGCTCTACCTTCATCGATGTGTTTTTTCACATCCTCAAAGAAGTCAATAAGGCTTGTGAGGCGTGACCTGCCCCCCTCAAAGCCTTGCTGATTATTTCGAATCAAACTGTGCTTTTCCAAATAATCATAAATACTATCTTTCAGAATCCTCTCCAATAATTTGCCCACCACAGAAGCAAGACTGGCCAGTCTGTAATTTTGAGGATTATCCCTATTCCCTTTCTTGAAAAAGGGAATGACATTTGCCACCCTCCAATCTTCTGGTACTAGCCCAGTGGACAGTAAGGACGCAAAGATCATTGCCAAAGGGGCAGCTGTTGCTGTGTGTCGGTGATGAAGGGAGCAAATTTTGGGTGGAATGTCAATCACACAGACTGCTTTGTCCTGGATAGTGTTAAGCTTCTTCAGTGTTGTTGGAACCGTGATCATGCAGTCAACCAAAGAGTATTCCATCATGCTGCTGACTTTTGCCTTGTAGATGTTGGAAAGGCTGTTCCTTCCCAGAGTTCCCAGCTTATGGGCAGTTTTAAGATTGCTGCAGACAGGCATGTTTGGTTTGATTTATTACGGTCACGTGTGCCGAGGTACAGTGAAAAGTGTTGTCTTACATACTTTGCAGGCACACTGTACTGTACAATTGCATCAGTGTAACAGAGCAGTGTAGGATACAGTGTTACAGTTGCCAATAAGTGCAGACAGAGATCAACATTAACATTAAAGAAGTCCATTCAGAAGTCTGATAACAGCAGGGATGAAACTGTTCTCTGATCTGTTCGTATGTGTATACAAACGTAGTAAATTGGCTGCTGCTTGCAAGAGGCACTTTCCTGATATCTGCATACCTAGACAGCTTACTGGAAATATTGACCTTGACTCTGGTATCGTGTCACACTTCCTTCCCTCCCTTTTGTATCATATGTTGATGTGCTGTAATGGACGAGGGTGGAAGAAGGGCCATATGGAGCATAATCATCAGCATGGACCTGTTGGGGGCTGAATGGCCTGTTTTCTTTTTGGGTGATGTACACAATTCTGGTCTATGCAAGAATGTTAATATACCCTTTCCCCCTAACTGAAAGGCATTTTGTTGGTGAAAAAGTCAGCCAGGAGTTTGCTGCTGTTCAAGATACACTTAAGTGACTGAATAAGGAGCTTTTCTGACGCATTGATTTGGGCTACCAATATTTACCCATGAAAGAAAGAACTGTTTGTTCCAAAACCCAAAGGTAAAAGTGGATCTCACCTATAAATATTGTGGCTACAAGACGTGTTCATCTCCTGATTCACTAAAATCTCCGTACCATTTGCAAAACGCAAGTTAAGCATCATTAAAATGGCTGCACCATCAACAACACACCGAGGTTCAGCACCTTCCAAGACTAAGCAATCCACTTGACTAGTGCTTTGTCCACCACAAATGCACGGGGCAGCTGTGTACCCTGTACGAGGTGCACTGCAGCAATTCACCAAGACTCCTTCAACAGTACAAACCTTACAAATATGTGATCTTTACCATCTAAAAGGTCAGGGTACCAAATGCATGGGAGCAACACCACCTCCAAGTTCCCCTCAAACCACTATTTGGAACTATGTCATTGTCCCTCGATCATTCCAGGTCAAAATCATGGAACTTTCCAAAAACACAAGGATGCGCCTATATCACATGATTTAAGATGACATCACACCACCATTTCTTAAAGCCAGTTGGGAATAGGCAATAAATGCTGGCCTTAATCATGACACCCACATAGTGTGAACAAAATTATAAAAGTACACTAGTCTTGAGGGGACAAGATTCAGGGCAACCCTTCTATCAGATGCTGACATATTTTTGTGTTGTCTGTCTTGAACTTTACATAAAATAATAAACTTTTAACTCCTTCAAAAAGAGTTCACTTGAACAATTAAAATTTAGCCCTTGGAATCCTTCAGCAAAGTGGGGGCATTCAGTCCATTGTGCCTGTGCTGGCTCAATCCTATTTAACACAGTTCCTGGGCATTTTTCCCTTATTGCTATGAGCCATTCTTCTTGAGAGTAGGATGTGTGGGTGCAATCTGATCCGCACTCATCAGTACAGGAAGGAGAAATCTGAGCATCATTAAAATGTTGTTGTGGGAGAGAGGCTCTAGCCCTGGAGAGACTTGAGCAGAACTCTGCTTCCCAACTGATACAGGCCAAATTGGTATGGATAATAAGTGTAGAGTACTGTATAAATATATTTAGATTCACTACATTATCATTCAGTCATTTTTTATTAGCTGTGTGTACTGGTGACTGATGTTTCCCAGCACACTTTATTGCACCACACCCCTGGTTCCAGGAAGGACTTTGGTTTAATCCCTGTTTATAATTTTGTTTATATGTAATTTTAAACTTATCTTATTGGATGATCCTTGAATGAATTGTACTCTCTTGTTACAGGCTTCGTGCATTGTCCAGCGGTGGAAGCATTGCATCCCCACCTCCTTCACCTGCATTGCCAAAATACAAATTAGCAGATTATCGATATGGAAGAGAGGAAATGCTAGCACTTTATATGAAAGATAACAAGGTACTTTTAATGAGCATAATCAGTTGCATTTTCCTTTGTATACTGCCTGTACTCTTCTGTAACTTTCCAACATTTGTCAGTTCAAGAACGTTTCTGATTTGTAAAATACAAGCCGAATTGTGTCTGGTCACGATGTGCTGAGTTTATTTTTTTTTCGACAGTCTCTTGTGTGCTGATTATTTTGTGTGAAAATTCTTTGCCATTTGTAGTGACCTAGCATAGTCAGGAAGGGTAACAGCGATGTAGTCAGATGAGGAAAGAAAATGATTTCTGGGGGTGTACAGCAGCACAAAATTGTAGGGGAGCTGTCTGGAACCAATCATGAGGAGTGATGGTACTACTGTCTGATTATCCTAGGATTAGTACCTCCCTATTTATTTTTGGATGTGACTTTTGCTTTCTGTTTTTTTAAATTGAAAAATTTCGTTGACAGAGACTCGGTTCCACCTTGTGAACAAAAAGACTATTCTTTGACCTTTGAATTTGAAACTAGTTGCCCACCAGTACTTGAGTTTGGATGTTGGATATTTTAGTAGCCAGAGTGGGCCTGTCTGGATGTGAACATACAAGACCATTATCCAGGTCTTTTTGCAACTGAATGCAAGAAAATGATGGTGTAAATGGTTGAACTGAAGCGGGACCTTGTGAATTTGAGTTAATGAACAAAGGTGGAAGGTCCCATGATTTAATGTGGCGTGGAGGCATTGTATTTGTGCAACTGGAGTACAGGGAGGAAACTAGAAGTTAGATTAAAGTCCAGGGTATTTGGGTTATTGGGTTATTGACTGAGAGTGTCCAAGATGAGTAAGTTACCCTTTTGGTACTGACAGATGTCTGGCAGATTAGTGTTATTAGATATAAACTTGTTCAGACAGCTGGGCAAAGTAGTTAAACTTACTATGGGAGAGCAGAATCTGAAGGAGGGTGCGTACTCTGGTGACATTGACACTCTTTCCATAATGTGGTGTCTGTGTTTGCTAATGGAAAGTAAGGTTTAATCAAATGCATGGAGTGAGAATCCATGAGTGCAATCTGTCCATTGCATTAGTCAGGTGCCCTTGAAATATTCAATTACTGTACTTGGAGCCCCAAAGAAATGGAGAAGTTTTGTTGAAATAATTTATTTGTGGTAGAGTTCATTGGTGGCCTGGTATTCTTGGTATATGTGGGTTTCTGAATGTATCATTTTAATTCCTAATCTTAGTAATGCAGAACAGACATCAGTTACTGTTTTCCGTCTCCCTCTTCTGTTTTGTTTCCTCCATTGCCCCAAGCCACAAAAAAAATTAGCAATTCACTTACCAGACTTCTTCGTTTGCTGCCTTGTTTAGAATTTAAGAAATAAGAGCAGAGTAGGCAATTCGATCCTTCAAGGCTGCATTCATTAAGATTGCAGTTGATCTGGTTGTGGCCTAAAATCCATTTCCCTGCCTGTCTTGCTATTATCTCCCACCCACTTAACTTCTAACTCCCTGGGAGTTTGAGGCTGTTTGACAAGTCTTTGAATATATTCTGCAACCCAGTGTCCAGATTTCCAAATGCTAACCACCCCATAAGAAATGCCATCCTGTGTTCTGCCTGTAAAGGAGACCCCTTGTTTGAAGCGGTGTCCAGTCTCTAGACTCATCCAGAGAGAAAATTTGCTCTCGCTGCTTATCCCATTAAACCCCCTTAGAATCTTGAAAGATTGATCTGCTGCCCTGCTTTCAGTAAGTAATTGAGAATATTGACACATCGATGGTGCATGGGGCATTGCAAAACCTTCTAGCACTGGACGCATAACCAACAGCTCTGAGTTCAGTGACCAGAGAAATCCAGTGCACATGCTGAGACTTGTTCCTGGTTTTATTTTGTCAGGTTCCTGAAGAGTTGTCGGACAAAGAATTTCTGGCTGTCTTACAAGATGAGCCACTTCTGCCTTTAGCACTTGTACCTCTTACAGAGGAAGAGCAGGTGGGTTGAATTAATGTGTTTTGTTTAAAACCCAGAAATACTGCTGGGTGCAGTGCATAAACATTAGTTTTTCTTTGAACTGAGCAATGCTGTGCCAGCTAGACTTGTTCAAGGTCTCGTGCTCTTGTGGACTCAAACTGGGACACTGCTGATAAGCTTCAACTCAAAATATAGCTGTGGCCATGAGAGTAAATATTTCAGTTGCTTCCCCCGGCCCCCACATAGTCTGCAGGGAAGATGAATCAACTTTACATTGATACCATGCATTCATTCCTGCAATAATACCTGAATATCTGCTGCATTACAACTTATTTCTTATCCTCTTGGACCTGCCTACCTAAATTCAGCACTTTTCCTGGCTTAATTATGCATTAAAAGTTGAAATATCTAGATTGGTAGTTGCTATCTGGGTCTTTGCGAGAAACTAGTCTCACTTTTGTAGTTACAGTGCATCTCAGGAGGAAGGGAATTAAGTTGACCAGCCTCAAATTGCCTTTGGTATTGCTATCAGAAATCCAAGCATTGGCTGCAGCAGAGCAGTACACCCATTAGATATAGCAGGTAGGATAGTGTGACCAAAATGAATTGATGCTCATGCTGCCCTTTTGGGTCATTGCATACTTCATATTGTGTTCAATTCACAATCTTTTTTACTACAGGAGATATAGCTGTTGAAATGTGGAGTGAATTTGGATGTCTTAACATGCAACTGTTTATTATGACAACAACAATCTATATTTGTGTAGCCACTTCAAAATAGAGCATCCCAAGGTCCTTTATAGGGACAAGATTTTGCTATGTCACAAAGGGAGATATTATAGATCGAGAGAGAGAGGCTTTAAAGAGCATCTTCAAGATGAAGAGCAGTAGTGTGTTTTTATAGAGCAGGAATTCCAGATCTTAGGACCCAAGCAGCTGTGGTCTGTCAAATTGGAATGATTAAAGTCCAGGCATACAGCAAGAGACCTTGAGTTTGTGAGGTTCATGGAGGTTACACAGATCGGGTGGAGTGAGGGAAGGATTTGATCACAAGGTGACTACTTTGGATCGAGAAAAGCCTAAATTCTAACTATTGTTGGTTGGTTGGATTGAATGGGACTTGCAATGAGTGAGAACCAGTTGGAAGAGTTTTGGGTGGTCGCCAGTTTATGGAGGGTGGAATATACGAGGCCATCCTGTATACATTGTATCAGTGCAATTTTTTTTTTTGTCCCTAATTGACCAAAGTGGCTGTTCTTGTGGGCTTTAAATACAGCTACTAACTCAAAGCAATTGCTGCTGAATTATAGGTCATTGCAACTTGACGTATTCAGAATTAAAAATATTATCTAAGCAGCTTCACCTCAGCTTAGAAAAAAGTGGATAGGTTTTGGAATCGTGCAGAGGGAATTTTTTATGCAATTGACTTGTCAAGGCAGGTGGGCGAGAAAATGGGTCTTTTGCACAGATTTAAATGTGACATCTGTACCAAATAAGCTTCTGTCACTCATGGTCTTTATGAAAATGTCTCAGTCTTAACAGCCTTGACATTGTTGCAAGGTAGGGCGATCTATGTTTTTTTTATGGAATTACCTTAAACTGAAAGTCCTGCCTTTTTGTTTCTGCATAGAGAAATTTTTCTATGTCCGTGAACAGCTCTGCAGTGATGAGGTTGATGGGGCGGGGAGGAGGAGCCCCATCAGCAGGGGTTGTCAGAGGCCGAGGCAGTGCAAGAGGCCGAGGTAAGAAACCAGAACTGCAGCATGTGCAAGCTGTGATCTGCCAGGGAACCAGCAGGAATGCAAGAATAGGCCATGTGGCGGCTTGAACCTGCTCAACCTGACAACAAAATCACGGTAGACCTACCCCAAGTCCAGTTTACTGTCCCATCTCCATAGATCCCTTTTTGCCCAAGTAGCAGTGCATTTTTTTATTGGATGCTGCCTGGCTGTTTCATGTATCGTGGTTACTGTGCTACTCAGACTACAAGAGGATACTGGTATGCAGATTAACCGTGTTACCTCGGAAAGAAAGTCTGACTGGCTAAACTGAAATCCAATATGCCACCTGGCTCTGATCCACCTCTGTCCCACTCTGTCCAACCTCTGTACCATACGTAACAAAAAACCAATAGCTTTATGCATCTCTGATCACCTGCATATTCAGCATATGCATTTAATTGTACAATAAACACAAGTCTTCGCCTGATAAAATATCCCTTAAGGTACTAGCTTGAGGTGTCCCCTTAGTCCTGTTGTAATCCCTTTCTGTAAAATCTTATTCCACATATATGAGTGTGTATATCCTCTTCACATGGTTATGACATCTCATTTGGTGGCCAAATCATCTAATATGATTCTCCCTTCCTAAAACAAAAGTTTTAGAAAGTTTTGAATAAGAGCACGCAATCTCAAGAGAAAGCTGTCAATAATCAATTCCATCTATACTTTCATATGACATATTCCAATTAGCTATATCTAAGGTGAGTTATCCCATTCGATTTGTCATTTTCCTGTCGTTATCTTTGTGTTCTATGTGGTCCGTCCCATTAATTACAGTTCTGTCTGATTCAAGGGTTCTGGAGAAACCATGTTTTCATAATGTCTTTAAAACAAAGATCAATTAATGCTGTATGGTTCCAGACATTGCCAAACTTACTTGTTCTTTGTTACAAAAAATATATGCAATTCTTTTCAAAAGTAATCTGTTAGATCACAGTTGGCATTTTTTCCTTTTAATATTATCTCAAATTCAGACGTGAAAGACATAGGCTCACAAACCAGGGAAAATCTCTTACCTGCACCTACCCTGCCTGTCTCTTTCAGTAGTTTGTAAGTATCAATGAATTCACTTCTGATTCTTTGAAACTCTAAGGAATAAAGGCCCAGTTAGGCCAAACTCTCAATAGGCCAGCCCTACCATCTCGGGCACAAGACTGGTGAAACTTCCTTGCACTGCCTTTATGGCAATAATATCATTCCTGACCTAATGAGACCAAAACTGCACTCACTAGTCCAGGTGTGGTCTAACCAAGCTCATATGCAACTGAAGCAAGGCATCACTAATCTTGTTCTGATTTGCCATCCCTCCGTTAAAGAGAGCAGTTTCTTTCTTTCTTTCTACTCCGTCCAGATCTCTTGTCATTTTTGGACACCTCTGATCAGAATCAGGAAATTATTTTTATAGCACATTTCATTATTTTCCACTCTTCCACTTTATTTCCCTTGTCTGTCAACCCCACAGGTCGAGGAAGAGGTGAAAGTGGTTACTACCAAAGAAGTTTCGAAGATGGTGAAGGGGGGTTTGGCCGTGGAGCACGTGAAATGCTGCGAAGTCAAAGCTGGGAAGAAAGGTATGTTGCAGCAGGTGTTATGTGCAATTTGACAGGAGCCTGGGGAGGTTGAAGATGGCTAACAGGTTTTTAATGGGGTTGGGGGATGGTCCTCCATTCTTGTGTTCTTTAACCATTCAAGTTGAAAAGTTGTTGTGAATGCTGTTGAAAATTCTGCGTTTAAAGCCGTTTTTATCCTGGTATTGAACTAGAATCTTTCCTGCAGGACCTGGATACTGCAGTAATGATATGCCCTTCTTAGATCCATATATAAATGTGTGTAAGTTGAATGGCTCAATTTGCATCAACATTTTGAATCCACACTGCAGAGTTGTGTAGTTTGTAC